GGGTAAGAGAATTAGGCCTCTGTGTCATGTCATATTTATACCCCAGGGAAATAGGAAGTCATGAATTACTAATTAAAAGTTCCTAGATATCCTGACCAACATTAGCAACTACAGAAAATATATATTTTTTTAAAAATCAATTACATTTTTCAGCGGAATTGTTAGGGGTGCCAATAATTGTGGGACACAGGATTTGAAGTTTTTATTTTTCTAAATTTTTACTTTTTTTTTTACCACCAAAGTAATGTACTTAAATAAAAGGTTGGATTTTTCTCTTTTTTTGCATTTGGGTTCTATGTTGTTTAAAAAAAAGGGAGAATTTTTAAAAGTCCTCAACCACATCTTAAACAGGGGTGCCAATAATTGTGGAGGGCACTGTATATATATACACACACATACATACATACATATATACATGAATCAAGAAAAGTTGCTTTGAAAAGTTGCTTTGTTGTTTTGAACTTTGAATAAAAAAATATTACTGTTCACAATATTACTGTTTTTATTGTATTTTATATGAAATACATGCAGTCTTGTAGAGTTTATGCGACCTCTCATTAAAAACTGATACCGATCCCAAACTGAAGTGTATTTTATCATCCTACCCTAATCACGATGGTTATAAATATGAAAGCGTAAAAAAAAAAGTGTCTGTAAGATTTGTGAAACACAAAATCCCATTACTGTGGTAATTTGTATAGTCCTTGTTTAGCAAATGACACTTATTTAGCAACGTACAAAAGAAAATGCAAAAAAAGAAACAGCACATTTGAGGGATAACTCTGTAATTTACGCATCAGAAGGTAACATGAAAATATGTAACTATAACTCAATATTACAGTTAACTGCATCTTATCATTTGTATTTATGAGATCTACAACTCATAATTGGTTGTAAAGTACTGTTTGCGAACCACTGGTGTAAGGTACCATTTATCAACTGTCTCACCATATCTTGGCCAAAACATCATCATAAAACATGAATTATGTATATCCATTTTTTTCGTGCATTATCTCTGCAGTCCTGCTTTGCAATGTTCATTCCTCTTGAACTCTACTCTTGAGGCAGAGCATAAAGTTTGCTCACACTGTGTGCTCCATCCCCATTCCTCCTTTAAAAAGCATGACTTCCCCTAGTTCTTTCAGTTTCTCCTCACCTGCATGCCCTCCTGTCCAGAGATGCCGACCCCTACATCAGCCACTTGGATCATACTAACATCATTAGCTCCGTCTCCTAGGATGAATGAGAAACAGAGAGAGGTCAAGAGAGGGTATAGGATTTATTAATTCCTGTTCACTTTGCACAATGTCAGCCTGCATTAATGCAAACATTGCATCACCAGCAAAGTGCTCCGCTGGCAGAAATAAACAACATAAATTAAACGCAAAAGAGCCCAGAAGCAAGCCGTGTTTTCAGAAAATAAACCAGAATGACATTAACGGTGTGACATGACTTTACATCAATGTCACCTTTTACACATCTCACGTCTGAAAAATGCTTACTACAAAGTCAAATTACGCAGGAACCCAAGCATTAGGGGACGGTCATGCTCAATTTTGCATGCCATTAATCAGTTGAAGCTTGGTGAAGTCTGAGCTGCAAATTCATATAGCAACGTTTGACCCGCAAAAGATCTAAATGTTACATTAACTTCTTAAAATAAATGAAGCACATTGTTAAACTATTAAACCGAACAAGCAAACAAAAAGAAAATGGGACAAAGACACAAAATGTTGGCTTGAAAGCCTCCAATGTTAATGGTCATATAGTTTTAAGCTGGGTTAGACCGATATAATGGGTTAAATGTTTGTGTTTTTTATTGTTAGAGTTTGAAATTATGAACAAGAAGTTAGAAAAAAAAGGTAACACTTTACTTGAAGGGGTGTGCATAAGACTAACATGAAACCTTCATAACCATGACATTACATATGTTAATATGAATATAAAGGAGGTTTTATGCATGTTTGTGACAACTGTGACAACAGTTATGACATTTTTAATACAAATATGACTTTGTTTGAGATGTCTGTTATGACACCCTGACATAAACCAATACATCATAACCGGTCAGTGTCTTTGTCATGACAACTTGACATTACTAATACAACACAACCTGTCATAAACATGATTAATTATCAAACTTAAGAAACCACCTAGCTTTATTGGTTAACATTACATTAAACTGTCATCAAGTTGGTTTTGACATTGGCAGTCATGAAGCCATTATAACTTCTACACAGTTATAATGGCCTCATGACTGCCAACGTCAAAGCCAACCACATGACAGTTTAACTTAAAGGTGCAATGTGTAAAAAAGTTGAGTATCTATTAACAGAAATGCAATATGACATCCATAACTATGTTTTCAGTGGTGTATAAAGAACTTACTTAATTAACCGTAACGTTTTTATTACCTTAGAATGAGACATTAATAGCTCCATAACCGCGGGAATCCCCTTCTATGAAGGTCGCCATGTTGTGACGTCATATTCCTACCGTAGCCGAACGCGAACAAACAGCGCTACAGAACGCGTTTCATCACTACCTTGAAAGAGAAGTAGCGGAAAGCTGGAAGCTAGCCTTACACTCCGTGAGTAGTGACTTTTCCCTTGTGAGTGGTGTAAAATATGTAGTTGGGATTGTTTCATGTAACTTAGTTCTCCCTCGCTGTGTTATGGGTTTGTTATGTTGGGGATAGATGTGCTGTTACGTTCGTGAGACAGCTGATGATTAGTATTCATGTCATTGACCGTAAAACAGTACGTTACAGGAATCACTAACCCGTCGATAGAGACTTTTAGATCACTAAAGTCGATCGCGAAGAGTTTTAAAAATCAGAGAAAAAAGCCTATTGTGTGTAGTAAATAGTATCTATGGGATGCGGAGATGACATGATTGTAACAGCGCGCGCACTTCCGACCTTTGGACTCATGCGATGCGATGCTTATAATGGACTGTGGTACAGAAACAGTGACAATGTTACACACTCTTGTCTTACTCTGGCTATTCTCTGCTGTCTCAGCCGACGAGATGTTTGTCCCGTTTTAGCAACCGTAGCTTCTTCGAAAGGGAGGGGTGAGCAGTGGGCTGAGCCCTTAGTGCAAACCTGGTGCAAACTCGCAACCGAACCACTAGATGTCGCTAAAAATCACACATTGCTCCTTTAATTTAATGTCAAGTTGTCATGACCAAGACACTGACAGGTTATGATATTATGGTTTGTCAAGATGTCATAAACAATGTCATATTTGCATTCAAAAGGTCACAACTAAGCGAATGACAGTGACAGTTCTCATAAACCCTACTTCATATTCAAGACATATGTCATGTCATGGTTATGAAGGTGTCATGTCAGTCTTATGCACACCCCTTCAAGTAAAGTGTTACCAAAAAGGATGAGCATACAAAGTCAGAACAGCCTGAAGGACTTAATTTCTTAGAATACCTGATCACAGGAAAACTACAAGTGAGATTAGAAATTATGAAGCACACAGTTGATAATGGGTTTAAAATAAAATAAAACAAAATGAAATGAAATAAAAAAGTCTTTTTTCTATTATATCATAATTAAAATCAAGTGTGAACACTATTATACACACGAGAATAAAGGTGTGGCCTTTTGTAAAGAAAATATAAACAATGATAAGAGGGTTACATAATTATGAACCAAACGGACATGTGAATCTGAAGTACACAGCCTCTCACCCTACAGAAGTTAACCCAAAATATGTTTTCAAAGATGTTTGTCTTGGAACTTTGAATCTGCCTCGAGGTGTTTTTTAAAATCATCTTCTGTTGCCTGAGGCATAAGGCGCAGTGCAGACTTGACCCCAAGCTATCATCAAAAGCTGACTTTCAAGCTAAAAATCTAGTAGGCTTTGAAGTATATAGACAAGTAAAAGCCCGCTGAGACCGTCGGTCGCCTTTGTCTAAACTGAAACAAACAAGCATGGCAGCCAAATTCAACAAGACCACCTTTATTTGAAGTACACCAAACAAAGCAAACAAGCTTAGCGTGAGAATCGGTAACATCTGCTGCGAACGTGTCTGTACACCATATAGGTTTGTTCATTAGAGACAAGGCTCTGGATTCCTTCTGTAAGGAAGTCAATTTCAAGGGAAAAGGAGTTTATTTGCACCACAGCTGAGGTTCGTTTGAGCGCTCCCTCTCACATTTTCATCCCAAATGACAGTTAATGTTTAAAAAAAAAAACTGCTCCTCTCTTTTCTTTTACGGCAGGGGTATGACCTGAGGTAACCCGCTCTTCCAGCAGCCAGGTGGTTCAGTCTTGATGCACCTTGCATCTCTCCCTCTCCCTAAAGCCATCTGGACAATTAGCCAGAGTGCTGCGTAGGCTTGTAAATGTGGCATTCTGCACGGGGAAAGGACAGACACGTGCTGTCCAGTCACCACTGAAATGTTTACTTGGCAACACTGGGTACCATTAATCTCCAAATTCTACTTGGCAAGCAAAAAGTACAAGAAACTACAAAAAAGAAAAGAAAATCTATGCAACCCATTTTGTGCTTCTTACAAAGAAAGAACCACTTATTGCTCAAAGGGATGGTTCTCCGAAAAATGAAAACTGTCATCATTTACTCGGCCTCAATTCTTTTAAAACCGGTATGATTTCATTCTTTTTTTTTTTACTGCTGATTTCAAATGAACATATTTTGTACTGGTCGTGGAGGCAGAAGCTTTGAAGCTTCAAAAAGAAAGCAAAAGTTTCATAAAAGTTCTCCGTACGACTTTATAAGCGCATAATAATGTAAATATTGTATAATCTTCCCACTGAATCAGTTAGCTGATCTCAAAGAACCAGATCAGTGACAAAACAATCACAAGCCTATGTAGATTGTAGAACCGTTGCAACCAATGGTCTCTACGAACAACTTAGCTCAAGAAGCTTTTGATTATATAATAATATCATTTATAACATCTACATACGGAGTGACTAATACAATCTTTGTATACAGTTGTTTATTCACATTACGTTTGAATATTCTTGTGAATTGTCACTTTCGATATGGCTATAAAGGTCACGCAAAATGATATTCAAACTCAAATGATTTGATTCCTCTAACGTTAAATAAAACACAAACAGTAGGCTACCAGGGATAACCATGGTCATACTTTGTATGAACAGCTTCAAATGTCAAAAATTCTATTTCTAAAAAACAATCATTGCGGCTGGTTAGGATAAAAAACTGTGATTACCATGGAAAAGATCTCTTGCTATTTTATATAATTTGTATATATTCCTGTGAATATTCAGCTTTGCTATCAGCAGCTATTGCTCAAGTCTTCAGTGTCGCATGATCTTTGAGAAATCTTTTGAATATGATGATTTGCTGCTCAAGTAATATTTCTTCTATTACATTCCTCTATTATTAATGTTGAAATCAGTTGTGCTGCTTGAGACTTTTGTGGAAACTGATATAATTTTTTTTTTTCAGGATTATTTGAGGAAGCATTTATTTGAAATATAAATCTTTTGTAACATCATAAATGTTACATAAAGAGGGTTGTAATACACTGCTCTTGTGAAAAACGTGTCTTCTTGACTACTTTAATGGTGATTTTGTTTCCTTTCTGGAGCTTTCAAGGCTTCAGTCTCTGTTTGTTGTTTGTAACTGCTTGAAAAGAGCATGGAAACATTTTCTGGGCTTGGAACGACACAAGGGTGAGCAAATCCTAGGTGAGCTATCACTTTAAATCACCAGCATTGGTTCAGTGAAAAAAGTTCATTTGTGTGTATTGTCTTAGTTTGCAGTTGAGTGATGTTTAGGAACGCAAAGGGCCCATCAGCTGCAGACTGGACTTTAAAAACAAAGTTCTCTTTCATTAAACAAATTCAACTAAACTAAATATTGTTAAAAACTTTGTTGATTAAGCAGTTGCAACAAACCAGATAGGAGATAATCGTAAAAAAAACCCCAAAAAACAATACAAACATTTACTTGCCTATTGCCAATGTCATGACCTTGAGTTTGTTGCGCACCAACTTGACCACCATGCTCTTCTGCAGGGGCGTTGAGCGACAGCATAGAACGGACCGGCAACTTCGAGCAACCGCCAGGAACTTGTCCTCCAAACTCTTGTCCAGTGCGTAGGCCAAAGTCCGGCCATCGATCACCAAACCGAGCCGGTGCACTAGGAACGGGCTGGAGTGGCCAGAAGAGGCCGGGGAACACACTGGAGAGGAGAAGTGGATGCCAGCATAGTCTTTAGCTGTTTGAGGATCTGGTCGAGAGTTGCAAAGGAACTTGGCCTGGATGTAGTGCAAACTGTTCTCCAGCAATACAGCACAGGTTTCCTGGTAAGAGTCCACACACACACACATAATGATGATCTCACGAGGGTTACACAAGAAATCCAATAACTGTATAAATAATATAACAAATGTTTTTACCAAATCACTATTATTAAAATAGATACTTCACCTAAAAATGAAAATGCTGTCATCATTTACTCACTCTCATGTTGTTCCACACCTGTATGACTAAAATAAATGCATGCATTTCTTTAAATATCTTCTTTTTAGTTGAATAGTAATACCATAAATCTTTAAAATATAATTCGTGTTCCACTGAAAAAAAAAAGTCATACAGGGTTGGAACGACATGAGGGTGAGTAAATGACAAATCTTTCATTTTTGGGTGGATTATCTCTTAAGCAAGGAGAAAGTTATGACTAATGCAACGAGCCAGTGATTAAGACATTCCTACAGTATATGACAACTCTGTTTTTCAAAACAAAACTCATGCGGATGCTTCACGTGTTCCCTAAGGAGACAAAGTGAAACGCCACAAAAGCTCATTCAAGTCAGTCCAGCTGTTGACATCTAGAGTCTAATAATGGATAATGTCATGCTGGGGAATACAGGTTTGGTGTATGGGTGTTTTTTCAATTATAGACACTTTTGGCCCTTTACGTAAAACACAGAAGCGCTGCGCAGTTTCACTATGTGAACTCACTCAAAGCCCACACAGAAGGAAATAGTTGAATAAAGTTGTTAATTTTGTTTGTTTCGCACAATATGTATTCTCGTCGCTTGATAAACTTAATAAAAAATCTAAAAACTGATGGCCTAAGACACGAAACGAAACAGTATTTATATCGTTTTTACCTCGTGTAATCACAGTAACGTCCAAGTGATCTGAATCAGTTGTGCAATGTCCAACTGAACCGAACTGAATCAGTTCAATGTTACGCCGGAAGTGATCGCTTGCATGTGACGTCACTCAATATTTACACGGAGATTTCGGAAGTTTTACCTTTTACTAAACATATTTAGATATACCGAAATAGTCTTCCATTGCGATTTCCCGTATATATGTTTAGTGAAAGGTAAAACTTCAGAAATCTCCGTGTAAACAATGCGTGACGTAGACGCGCGAGAGATCACTTCCGGCGTAACGTCTGGAGACGGTTCAGTTCGGTTCAGTTGGACATCCGATTCAGATCAGTTTGACGGCTGTTAACAAGAGGTAAAAACTATATAAATACTGTTCGTTTTCTCACACACCGCTCGTTTCGTGTCTTAGGCCATCAGTGTGTACTTACATTCACGAGTCATTAAATCATGTTTAATTTTGAGTTCTCTGTGCATGCTCTTTGAGGTGAACCGAGGGAGGACCCCCTTAACCTTCAGTGTATGACTGGCAGACAACAACGGTTTGACCAAAAAATGTCAAAATTGAAAATGCTGTGGAAACAAAGACACCTACATCTTGGATGCCCTTGAGGTAAGCTAAAACATATCAAAAATTAATTTTAAAGTGAACTATCCTTTTAAGATTGAACCACTGTAGTCACTTGGACTATTTTAACAATGTCTTTAATAACTTTTCTGGGCCGGCAATTTTTGATCCCTTAGAAGCCTATGGAGAAGAGATCTAGCTCTCAGACTTCATCAAAAATATCTCAATTTGTGTTCCGAAGATAAACGGAATGGTGTTGTTTTATGGTGTTGGAACAACATGAGGGTAAGTAATTACTGACAGAATTTAAATTTTTGGGTTAACTAACCCTTTAAAGCTTAAAAAAAATCTATAGAAGACATTTGACCTTCAAATGAAGGAAATTTATAGCAATAAAAACAAATGAATAAATAACTAGCCAATGGGAGATTAAATTGCCCATAATGTAAAAAAACACCCATACGGTATTTATGAGTGAGAGGGGTGGGGGTGTCAACAACGGTACAACAGTGGTAGAAATCTAACAACGGTTTGGGTTTTCAACCTGCACAATCAGGCCTACAGGTTATGGGCAATACCTTCAGACATTTCTGTCATTCCTGGTAGCATAAAGCAAAACAAGAACAATAATCAAATCAGAGAATGAATAATTAAATACAAGAGATCAAAACATAACCTTCTCCTGAGATAAAATAGAATTATAAATGGGCTTTCAACCCCTTGTGAGAACTGATATTAAACATGTTCCAAACCCTGCAGTTGTAGGCAGAACAGGGCAGCATTCCTAAAAATTGTCAGCTGAAATGGGCAGTCTAAGAGAAATTCTTATTTATAAACGATGCTTGTAGTGTTGGGAATTCTGAAACATTTCGGTAAATCAATTCTTTCAAACACTTCAAATTTCAATGAATCAGTTTACAAATTAAATTTAGTGATTTCTGAATTCAAAACAGATTTGGAGAGGTGGAATCTGATTAAATGATTAACTAAAGAAATAAATCAACAGATCAATCGTATATTAGAATAGTCATCAGATGCAGACGGAATCCTCACTCAGTCAGCAACCAGAGGGATGAGAAAGAGCAGAGCCCATAAGAAGAGACTGCAGCAGTGCATGTTGGGTGTACCTGCGAGTCAGCATTAAGAGTGATTATCTCCTCCTCAGGGTCCAGCAGTTTGCAAGCATAGGCAATGTTGATAGCAGTCTCTTGTTTATCTCCTGTCAGCACCCAGATCTGAAGGCCCGCTTTCCTCAGAGAGGCGATAGTCTCGGGGACACCATCCTGAAGTCTGTCCTCAACACCTGTTGCTCCTATTGAAAAAGGCCGAAAGAAAGGTTATGCATATAGCCACTGGTGTATTGCACTAACCATTTTTGTTTTGAATCCTGTGATGTATATTAATATTGGCCATAAATAAGTCCTGTGATGGACTGAGTGCTTCAGGAACTATTTTTACCTAGAAGTTGGAGGTTGGTCTCTAGTCGTAATGCAGACTCAAATATCAGCTCCTCTCTCTTCTGTATGGCCGTCTCGGCCTCCAGGTGGCGCTGTAGCCAACAGGCATACTCCTCCTTACTGAGCACCTGGACCAAACAAAAACTATCATCACATCACTGATAGAGGTGTAACACCAGCTCAATGATGCTCAATAAATATTATTTGTGATAAACTAGTTTGGATAACGCAGTGATTGCCAAACTGTAGTTCTACATCAAAAAAAAAAAAAAAAAGTTTCGAAGAGAAAAAAGGAAAAAGAGAGAAAAACGCAATAAGGTATTCTGGTAGCTGGCTTATAAAACAAACAGGTGGAGAAAATAAAACTAACACAATAAGAGGCTTGTTAAACTTTAAGCAGCTCCATTTATGTATGATTTCACATGTAATTGTGTGAAAAATAATTGTACTCAAGCTGTTAAAAGCTTCCCTTCTGTTAAAGTGACTATTTAGCAACAGTGGCGGCTGTGAAGCATGCCAAAAAAATGTATTAAACCAGTGTCAGATCTTAGCTGGGAATTCGTGACTAAGAAAAAAAAAAAGTAACAAAAAAAGTAAATAAGTCGATGACAGCAGAAATCTGCATGTCCGCGTGAGCATGTGAGGGTTTGATTGTATTTTTTGGGGGTGGAAAAGAAAAGAAAAAACAAGAACACATCTCATCACATCAAACTCCCACAAGGATCTCAAGACACAGTTTAGCAAGTCAGAGAAGAGAGTGAGAGTATATATTACCATCCATGAGATATGGAGAGAGAAAGAGAGATGAGAGAATGATGGACAGAGTGAGAGAGAGAGAGAGAGAGAGAGAGAGAGAGGGTTGTTGATCGTCACATAGATCAGCACTCTGGGAAAAAGCTCACACACACTGTGCAAAAACACTTTTAACAAGGCAAATAAAAGCGTAATTAGGGCTTTCAATCGATTTAAAGAAATTAATGATTTCTTTAATTAAAAAAACATGAAAATAATCCAAACAAATGCAATTCGGTTCATTTGTTAATTTGTGCAAGTGTACTGTATATATTTTATTATATCATTTTATATTATATTCTTTGCCCACTGCATCACATCTTACTATTTACGTACATTAAATGCATTGATTTTTTGTGTGCGTTTTGTATATAATTGATTGTTCTAAATTTAAACAAAAATTACAGCCCTTACAATATAATTATTTAATTATTAATGAAAGTCACCGTTACCTTTTTGGCAATACAAAGCGTTCTGAGGCCATCAGCAGCATAAAGATTTAAGTAGTTTTGAGTTTTATATAAGATTTTCCTTTGTCGCTTTCCTTTGCAATCATCTGCAGAACAAACAAACAAACAATAAAAAAACATTCATCATTCATCAGAAAAAAACACAATGTAAGCAGACAGCCTAAACTAATCACTTCAACCTCTTTAAGGTTGGTTCTCTTTGTTGCAATTGGCTTGTTCAACAAGTGTTTTGACAGGTTGACTAGATAACTCTGCATTCCGAGGTTTATCGCTCCTGCGTTATTGCTCAGTGCATTGCTTCCTGGCAGGAAGAGCAGAACAAACTGTTAGGGATGATCACTTCCCAACATGGATGACTGTCAGCCAAGATGAGAGGGTGAGGGTTCCAAACCTCACATTTTCACAGAATGATTCATCACCACCCCTGCAACTGTGGGACGACTGGACCTGTTTTTCCAGAGATGTGTGTATTGACTTCGGTATTAAATACTCACAATAATTGCACTGATAAAAAACTAAATCCCCATATCATGCCTTTACATGACCATCCAAAGAGTGAAAATGAAAACGGGATCAGTGTCATCCAATTAAGCAACAGTATTAAAAGGCGAAGTGTGCAAAAAATAGTAACACGCATGGAGTGGTATTATTCCTGTCAACAGCACACAGAGTGTGGGAGAACCTATGAAACCAAGTGTAATACTTTAGTACGAGCAAAAGTAAGTGATGCTTCCACTGCACCATTATTATTTAATATTTTTACGAATGATTTACCATATATTTTACGGAAGGCTAACATTGTTATGTACGCTGACGATTCAACTATATATACATCAGCAAGTACACAAATGGAATTACAAACGGTTTTAAATAAAGAATTACAATATGTAGTAGATTGGGTCGAATTAAATAAATTGGCATTAAATACTGTAAAAACTAACTGCATGATTTTAGGTTCAAATTATAATATTAATAAGAATCCTGTAATTAATATTAAGATTAACAACACAGTTATTGAACAGGTGCATGAGACTAGACTGCTGGGTGTAATAGTTGACTCTAGATTATCATGGAAAAAACATATTAGTAATATTATTGCAAAAATGGGAAGAGGTATATCCATTATGAGAAGACATGCAAATTTCTTAACTTCGAATATTAGGAATTATGTGATGAAAGCACTAATATTGACATATCTCGACTATTGCCCAGCAGTTTGGTCAAATGCCACTGGGGAATATATGAATAGATTACAACTTATACAGAATAGAGCCGCTCGTGTAGCACTTAGGTGCAGCTATAGGAGAAATATAATATTAATGCACAAGGATCTTAATTGGTTATTGGTTGAAGATAGATTGTTGTATTCATTGTTAATTTTTATAAGAAATATTTCTAATTCAAAATTTCCTTCTGTCTTGTTCAAGCATCTTTCTTTCAGTGTAGAAAATCACCAGTATAGTACTAGGCATGCAACTAAGGGTAATTTTACTTTACCCATAGTAAGAACAAATGCCATAAAAAATACTGTTGTGTTTAGAGGTATGAAAGAATGGAATTATTTGCCAAAACATATCCTGCTTACTAATGATGCCAATAAATTCAAATTATATGTAAAACAACATTTGTCAAAATATTATAACTGAATGTTTATATTTATTTAGATATGTGTACGATTATGTATGCGTGTAGGTATGTTTATAGGTGTAAGTGTATAATATGGTTTTATATTTGTGTGTATTTTTATACCTGTATGGGGGTACATATGTATGTCGATATGTGTTCATATTGTATATGTATTTGTATTATGTGTTTGTGTATTTTCTTTTAATGTACATACTTTTTTAGGACCCCAGGAAGAATAGCTGCAGCATTGCTGTAGCTAATGGGGATCCTTTCAATAAAACAAACAAAACAAAACCATTAATGCCAGCAAGTTTCCCCAAACTCTCCTACAGTCTTATTGTTGAAAAGCAGAACTTGACATATTTGGACTGTCTAAATAGAGAAGCTCCACAAAACCACTGTACTATTCCTTTGGTAAGGCAACCATGTTTATGCTCCATGTACATAAAACTAGGATAGGGGAAAGGATTTTAAAAAAAAAACCTAAAAACACATCAATAATAATAATAATTATTATTATTATTATTCGTTTGCCTTTAAATCTTACCAAGAAAACAAAACAAACAAAAAACAAGACATCAAAAACTTAACAAAAACAAAACCAGACGAAAAACTAAACAAAACAGTAAAACTAAACAAAACACGACACCAAAAACACCTAAAACTAAAATAAGACACTAAAAACTAAACTAAGCAAAAAGACACAAAACTAAAACAAGACACCAAAAACACCTAAAACTAAAATAAGACACTAAAAACTAAACTAAGCAAAAAGACACAAAACTAAAACAAGACACCAAAAAATAAACTAAACAAAAAGACACAAAACTTAAACAAGACGCCAAAAACTAAACTAAGCAAAAAGACATCAAACTAAAACAAGACACCAAAAACTAAACTAAGACACCCAAAACTAAAACAAGACACCAAAAACTAAACTAAGCAAAAACACCAAAAACTAAAACAAGACACCAAAAACTAAACTAAACAAAAAGACACAAAACTAAAACAAGACACCAAAAACTAAACTAAACAAAAACACCAAAAACTAAACTAAACAAAAAGACACAAAACTAAAACAAGACACCAAAAATTAAACTAAACAAAGACACCCAAAACTAAAACAAGACACCAAAAACTAAAACAAGACACCAAAAACTAAACTAAACAAAACACCAAAAACTAAAACAAGACACCAAAAACTAAACTAAACAAAAAGACACAAAACTAAAACAAGACACCAAAAACTAAACTAAACAAAGACACCCAAAACTAAAACAAGACACCAAAAACTAAACTAAGCAAAAACACCAAAAACTAAAACAAGACACCAAAAACTAAACGTAAAACAAGACACCAAAATGAAAAACAAGACACCAAAAACTAAATGACACAAAAAATAAACAGCAATAACACAGAAGGCCTAGACCTGGCTGTAGTAATGGATTGTAAAATAGCTTTGTATTGTATAAAAAGCTTTAGTCTGGAAAAGTAACCAGAGAGAATTTTCCTAACTAAAATAAATTTTAAAAAATACACCAGTCACATTACTGAAAGACAGAAATTACTGCCATTCCCACAGCAAAACCTGGTGTTCTTTCCAACATGTGCTTCATTTGAGCATGTTACATAATAACTGGAAACACAGGTACAGTTTGATTTTTCCAAATCTTTGTGGTTGCATTGCATTGTCAAATCTGCTTTATGTCAATGAAGTTATAACTTCAAAGTTAAAACAATTCACTAGTCAAAACATTGAAAGCTGAGTGGCTCAAGCTGGCATCTGTAGTCTGTTTTTTCACATTGTGTCATTACAAGCATGGCAAATGTCCCACTGCTTCTGAAAGACGCTATTGTACCTTCAGTTGGTACACTGTGCTAATTGGAGGCCCACACCCAAAGGTGAACAGTGGTTCTGGATTCAAAAGTACAGTAAAATATACTGTGCATGTGTGTCAAGCATGAAATAATCCACAGTCTGTAGTGAGGCACAGTCTGGGTGTGTGTTTGCAGTCTCATGCTATCTAACCCCACATAGGCTAGACACTAATAAACCTAGGTCTCTAAACACATTTCTAGACTGCCAACTAAACGCATGTAAAAAAGAGCAAACAAGAGGAAACTCCCTAACTACTTTGACTAGAAATACTTATGGTTCATATAGCCAGAAAAAGACATCACAATCTCAATTTTAAAAGCACTAAGCCTTATTAAAAGGTAAATAAATAAATAAATCAGAAAAGAGTGGTTTTCGCTTTATCTTTTGTAGTTTTATCAACCCAGACAGCAGCAGGATTATTAGGCTGCTGTAACTTTAAGACCCACACAGATCCAATACAGACTACTAATACTGTACACATGAGTTTTCTTTCTCAACTATTTGCATTCAGTTAAGAGACAACTGATTAGGTTTTCTAGGATACTTGGAGTGTCGACACAGACACGGCTTGAGTTAAAAAAAATTCTTAAAACGATACATTTACTTGAGAAGCAACACTATTTTATTAAGAGCATTTATAGACTGTAGCTTGAATAAACATTGTTTAATTTGCAGTTATTTCACAAGAAGATTTTTCTTACTCGTTTTAAGACACAAAGGCGCAAAATCTGTCAGTGCTGAAAAAGTTGGGTAACACTTTATTTTGATAGTCCACTTTAGACATTCTACGAACTATAAGTAACAATTCAACTACATGTCAACCAACTGTCATTAGAGTATAAGTAGACTGTCAGCTTAATATCTGCTAACACTTTATTTTGTTGGTCCCCCAACAGACATTCAACTGACTATAATAACTTGGCGACTACAAGTAAACTTATTCTCCTAACCCAAAGCCTAACATCTAACCATAACCTAACAGTCTACTATAATACACTAATACTCTACTGAGCGTTATGCCTGGTTCAGATTACACGATTTTAGTCCGATTTTGGCACGATCAGTTTGACGTAGGGTGTCGTGGGGATTCGTAAACGGCAACAGGCGTCGGGACGCAAGATTCGATCGTATCATCTCGTATAGTGTGTCATAGTGGGCGACAACCAACGTCGTGTCTGCGATGCTTCACGACATCACGACAAAAAGACTAGCATGTTTCATTTTTTTAACGGTCGTCCACGACGGTTCCGTCACATGTATGAGGTTGACCAATAGGAGCACAAGCTTTTCCGTACACAACTTTCAAAAGTGGCGAAACGAAAGAGAGACGATGGTGCTAATGTTAAAACTAAAAGTAAAAATATATAAGAAAACAATATTTTACCTCAAGTTCTCTTTGGAGGATTGACAGCCCATACGGTCCTCTTCGAGCAGGGTTCTCAAGTCTCACGCAATGGCCGTGAGACACACGCAATTCAACCAGTTCACACACTCACACGCCACACCGTGTATTTCGCACGCTGAAAAGGCAATGCCGAACAATCCAGGAACGTGTCCATTGTCGGGTTTTCTTTCTTTTTTATACTTTTTTCTGAACACAGGACAGCCAATACAACACTCACCGCTTCATCCATTGTTTGTTTACGTTTGTTTCCGGAAATCACTCGCTACTAGTTTCGCCTTCTCGATGACATCACGCGCGCCGTTAAAGACGTGTAGTCTGACGTGTTTTGTCCACGACATGACAAGATTTTAGGAGTCAAAATCGTGTAATCTGACACATTGACTATCGTAACAGACAAAAAAATCATGTAATCTGAACCAGGCATTAGTTGACATATAGTTGAAAAGTTACTTATAATTAGTAGAACGTCTAAAGTGACTATCGAAATAAAGTGTAACCAAAAGTTGAAAGACTTAATATCTTTGCAGTGTTGCTTCAAGGAAATTATTCTTGATTTAAGTGCATTAAGATATTTTTACTATAAAACAAGACAACATAATATGATTTTCTGCAGTCAGTGACGAATAACCAGAAATTTGTCTGTCAATTGAAACATATTACCAAAACATTCAAACAACATTAAGCATTAATTATATCTTTTACAAAAACAGCTTTTTGGCCTTCGGGAACTGCCATATTGACCCATGTAAGTGCTTTATGTATTTGTTTGTTAAATTGTTTGCTTTTGTAATTGGCAACAAACCACAGTGAAAGAAAACGTAAAAAAAAGCAACAAGAAAAAACCCAAACAAACCACGTTCTCTGGTTTATTCTGCTCTTTCCTAATAAAAGTTGAGCAACTCGACTGCTTGCGAATTATTCTAAGCCATAGTTTCCTCTCTTTTTTTAGGCTCTCGCATTGACATTTAGATATAAAGCAGACGGCTATGCATGTAGTACTTCTGTTCAGTCATTTTTGTCCACAGCATTAGAGAAAACTGCCACTGAGGCGGTTCTCGTGCCTGGAATACTAACAAGCCAGTCTACCTGTGCCATTAGGATAGTTTATTACCACTAAACCCTTGGCTACATCAAGAGCGAGAAACAAACTGGAAGCCATCCAGCAGATGTTTGGGTGAAGGGGATGACGGGGACATGACCTTACCATGCTGACTATGTTGGGAATTAAATGTCGATCAGCATTGATCAACTGTATAAATCAAAATCAAGGGACCACTTTAAGCACTCGGAAGACATGACAAATTCAAAACATATCCTGAAAAAATATGTCTTTCTTCACTGTCTGCTCTTATTAGATGGTTGCCAGCTCTCTTTTAAAAGAAAAAAAAGAAAAGAAAAAAGACAAGTAGCCTATCCATTTAATGTTCTGAAGAAATCAGATGACTTTCGGCCATATGGCCGTGAGCCGTTATTCATTAATTCTGCTGGAACAGGCCTCATGCACTGTCTAACTGGGACATGGAGAAGAAAACACAGACTTCATTAAAACTTTAATACGATCAACAAATGTTATAAAGCATAATCAACACTGAACATCAAAAACTAACCCAGAATATTTGATTCATTTCATATGGGGGGAAGGTTTGACAGCATGCCAAACGTTTGTTAATCTGAATTCAAAATATAAAAGAGAAGAGCCATCAATAAATAAAATGAATAAATCTAAAGTTACAGAGAGTTGGAATTATAGCTGGTGAAATTTATGGAAAGTGTCTTTTAGAGATGAATGGGAATCAATATCAGAACGATAGCTTCCAACTTTCAATTAGATGGAGTTCTGATGTTTTTGTAGGGATTCCTGAGTTGTAAAAAAAGTAAATTAATGAAAAATAATGCACCACACTCGAGGTGATTATATACACAACTTTGTTTAAAAACAATAATAAAACAAAACAATTTACTATTAACATCCTAAAAAAAAAAAAATTCCAATAATAATAAAAAATGCACGAATGCGCACAAGCACAGAAGACCAACGGCCAAGGTCAGGGTTTTCATTATTTAATGCATGTGATCTCAACAAAACCTGTCGTATACCCAAATATTCTGTGATGCCTTTTGTGTTAAATATGCATAGATATATACACACTAGATGTCGCCTTGGCTACGGCAGTTCATTAGTATGAATGCGTCAATTGAGCCGCCATCTTGGAAAAGGGGAGCCCCTCCACTTTAATGCATCAGCATCAATGTAGACAAAGGTCTAACCGAAATAAAATCACCATAAATCATTATGAATGCGATTTTCTCTTTTTTTTTGGTTCGTTCCAACGGTCAGACATGTATTTATCATTGATTCCAGAAATTTTTTTATAGGATATAAATTTTATGCATACGTACACGTGTGTGTGTGTGTTTGTGTATATATATATATATATATATATCCCATGGAGTCCAAACTTTGTCTTATAGGGAGGGAAAGGGGCATTGGGATTGGGACATGCCTCAAGCTGGACCATGTCACTGTTTTACATTTTAAACATACGCTTCAAAGCATCAGAACGGAGCAGCCCACATTTTTAAACCATAGAAAAGGTGTGGGAACAATGCTAGCATACCTGTAGCTGGTCTGATCAAATCCATGATGACTGAATCAGCACCCTTGGTGTAGACAGTAATTTGCTCAGTCAGCGGGTGTTTTACCACCACTGACATCCTCTTTCTTGTGGAGTCAAACCCCAGTGTGTGCAGAAGCTCGAAACTTAGCTTGCCCAAGTGTGGAAGTTCCACGGTCACTTGATCTGGTAAACGCCCAACAAGAGCACACTTATAGGCCCGGGCTGCATAAACCAGAGCTGCCTCGTCCGGTGACTCCGCCTCATATCTGAGCTCGCATTCATCCTGAGCCAAAGCTTTTGTTTTATCGAAGTTGGGTGGGACGGGGCTGAAGGCATGCTGCAGGTCACGCTCTGGACGCTTCTCCTCGTTCAGCTTGGTGAGCGTGCTCTCGGCCGAAGGGGAGGAAAGCATGCTGCAGCCCACTTTATGGGAGGACGAGCGGTTGGTGGTCAGACTGGAGGAGCTGCTGCTGTTGGAGCCAGAGGTCAGGCGGCTTGGAGTGAAGCGCTTGATGAAGTCCTCGATGGTCTTTACTGGAGACTTCAACTCAAAACGACGCACCTTGATAAGATTCCAAAGAAATATTGTCAAAATAAAACTCCTTAAATATTTGTGCATGATTGAGTCACTTTAAAAAAAGTCATGCAACAGTTTTTTTTAATAAACTGGGAAGGTTCATTCAATAACAGAAGACAAGGCAAATGTTTTTTATTGCACATATGGTGACCACGAGACATTTGAATACTTAAGCATACTTAACATGAATTCAGCTGTTTAAAACATATCTAACAAGCATTTATTTTAAATGAAAGATAAATTCAATTGTGCGAACTGACTAATATATATAAAAAAATCTGCGTGAACTGACTATATATATATATATATATAAAATATGTGTGAACTGACTATATATATATATATATATATATACGTATATATATATATATTCAGTTCACACAGATTTTTTATAAATCGTATATATAAAAAATCGTCGTACCTGATCAGTTTGTCGTATATATATATATATATATATATTCAGTTCACAGATTTTTTTAAGTAAAAAAAAAATCCATTAATAATTGAATAAATGTTTCATAAATTATTTTGTTAAAGAGTATCTTTCATTTAAAATAAATGCTTGTTACATATTATGTTTTAAACAATTGAATTCATATTAAGTATATATATATATCACTAAAAATCACTTTAAGATCAGTTGGATAAAATTAATTGCAAAAATGAGAATATTGCTCATAATAATCAGGATGTCAGTTGGTTTGTTACAACATGGACAAAGGAACTGAAAGGAGATTATTCATTTTTAAAATGTAGTTTCCCCAATGTTTAAGCAACTGTTTGTTAATAGACAAGGATGAATTACAGCAGAACTTTAAGCAGTTTATCAGGCATCCATTTCATTAAACACTAAATGCAAATCACTCAGTTTAAGCTCATGAAGGGAGGATAAGCCTTTGATTGCAGTATCAACCTGAACTTACAAAAACACTAAGAAGAACGCAGATGGCAGCAAAGAGGGAGGGTTTTGAGGGAATCTCATGCCATAAATTCACATAGAGTAAAGATTACATAATGACGGATAGGCCACACATCTTCAACAGAAACAGGAAGTTGCTTCTACTCCACAGAAAAACCACAGGACGTCAACTGCGGCCAAAACATCCCATTCACAGTCAGCTCTGAGGTAGAGGCCTGTTAGGTCTGTCTGCTAGAGATGTGCAAAACTAGTCGATTAAATGATACCGCTGCTGCTAGTTAACTTGGGAATAGTAGTCAGTCACATTTTTTTGCACATTTACGGACAGATTTACTAACAGCTTGCGCCACTGCAATCCCTCTTCTTGGTTAAAAAAAAATCAAATAAAAATACTGACAGGATTTACTAAAGACACCTCGAAAACTTGAAAAGGCACGGACAGGGTTATTTTTGCGGCTGACCTTATTGCATATGCATTTGTAGTTTACATGATAAATTAAATACTTTGTAAATAAAAAAAAAATGTGTGGGCTAGTCAATTTACTGGTATTTGCACCATTATTTACTTACTCAATTATTAAAAAAAAGACGCTAATTTTTGCTGCTCTTGGTAGATTACATTGGTCGTTGTGCAGATCCCTACTGTTTGCTTACCTTCTGTCTGGGTTGATTGGGTGAGGACACAACAACAGTGTTGCAGATAGTTAGGGCGATGAAAAAGTCAAAGATGTCACACTGGTCAGGGGGGATCTGGTTCAGGGGCTGATTGTGAAAACGGATGAACTCCATTTGACTGCCACACTCATTGACCTTATCCATGAGCTGGGGATCTGGAGTGATGTCCTTCTCCTGTCAAACGGATCAAATAAAATGGGAAAAAAATGAGTAAGCATTGGGTTACAGCGTGATACATGAACAGCTTAATGTGGAATGGAAGCACTTGCTAACCATTGGACTACTGAAGGCAGTGTGTTTGGACAGAATGCTGGCCCGTTTGGCTTCGGCTCTGCTGCCGGTGCGACGGTGAGATTTAGTGCTCTGGGTTCGCAACACCACTTTTCCGCTCTGGTGACTGGTGACGCTGTCCCGCCGTGGGAGAGTTCCACCATGAGATGTACAGTCCTCCTCCTCTGAATCCACCTCCTGGTACATAGCAAGCCTTCTCGCTGTGGGAAAGACACTTTGTTAGACTGTTTGAAACTTAAGGACTTCATGGAAGACCTAAGGCTTTTCTTCATAATAATAGTCCTGTATTTGAACTGTCAATTTGGGGCACAGGCTGTAGAGGGAACAACCAATATATTCAATATTAAATTATCGATTTATTACTTATAAGGGCTGCTTAAGACTGTTGCATATTAATTTAGAAGCCCAAGCTAAGGTACAGTATTTACGTTTTTTTTTAAAGTTTTAAATGTGCTTTTAGGCTACATTTATAACCTTGAATATAGAAAAAATTAGAATGTAAAATAATTGAATTATATTTTAAAAGCTAATTTATTCATGTGATGGCAAAGCAGATTTATCAGCAGTCATTAAAACAGTCTTCAGTGTCACATGATCCTTCACAAAAAAACATTTCTTCATATTAGCAATGCAAGCAGTTGTGCTGCTTACAATTTTGTGGAAACCATGATGTGTTTTTTTTTTCCCAGGACTTAAAAAAAAGAACATTTATTTGGAAGAGAAAACTTTTGTAACTTTATATATGGCTTAACTGTCACTTTTGAGCAATTTAAATCATCATTGTTGAATAAAAGTGACAATTTCTTTAAAAAAAAAAAAAATCTTCTAAAGTCTAAATGATCTTCATTTTGGGGGCTTTTTGATGTATGCCATTCATTTCAATCAATGTGATTAAATATGCTAATCAGCGTTTCATGTAATTCATTCTACATTGATTGACAGCATTTTTACTTATACAAAATTATGTTGTATAATACAATTAATGTTGTGTGTCCACAGAACCATAATAGCCCTTGTGTTGGGCACAGAAGACACTGATAATCCTAACCATTGGCATCATGCGAGTACTCGACTCCTGCCACAGTACAACGGCGAAACACCATCTTGTTTTCTGTGAGTGTGCCGGTCTTATCAGAAAAAATGTACTGCATCTGGCCCAGGTCTTCTGTGATGTTCAGAGCCCTGCACTGGAGGTGAGAGTCTGTTTCCTCATCATACAGCTCCATGTCTTGATGGATAAAGTATACCTGGCATATCTTCACTATTTCAATGGAAACAAAGAGCGAGATTGGGATCAGCACCTGCATCGGAGAGAAAGAGAAACAGAGAGGTTTGGTGTAGATTCATAGGGTTATCATTTCAACTACCAATGAGCCTAGAATAAAACAGGAATTTGAGGAACAGTTCATCCCAAAATTGAAATTGTGGCATTGTTTAATCCAATGGTTTCTTCAAATGGAATTTGGAATTGTTCTACATAATAGAATCTGCGGCACACTGTGACATTCTCACACCACTTGCTATTCACCTGAAATACTATAATCATGGTCAGGAAGAGATAAATGGCTGAGACCACTGGAGATAAGTCAGTTCCTTCTGGGCTCAGGACGTCAAAGACGGGCCTCTTATCTCCGTACTGAAACATCCACAGGCCATGACCTAAAGAAGGTTTGAGAGACAAACACTCGACTATATAAAGCAGGTCAAATGGAATCATGGGTTTTGTTATTCAAGAGACACTAAAGATGTTAAAGCAATCTAAAAATGTTTAAGGAAACCAAAACAGTTAAGCCACTACTTCCTCAAATCAGATACATTCATCAACTGCGGTAACAGGCATTAAAAAATAAAATTCTGTCGCTAATCACTTACCCTCATGTCGTTCCAAACCTGTAAGACTTGCGTTCATTCTCGGAACACAAATGAAGATGTTTTTGATGAAATATCAGACTTTTCTGTCCTTCCGTTGACAGCTACCCAACTGACGCTTTGATTCTTCAAAACATTCATAAAGAGATTGTAAAACTAATCCGCATGAATTGAGCAGTTTAGTCCAAATTTTTTAAAGTGACAATCACTTTATATCATGAACAGATTGAATTTAGGTTTTTATTCACATATAGACATTCATCAATCACACATAAGATCTGGTAAACAGAAGCTCAAGCAGGTTCGCTTGACTTGAGAACCAATGAGGTTTGTTCTCGTTTTACGCAGCGCGTCTGAGCTTCCACAAGAACCACTAAGGTTCATTCTCGTGTTACACAGCATGTTTGAGCTTCCTCAAGAACCAATGTGGTTTACTCTCACACTTCAAGCTTCTGTTTATGTTAGCTGATCAATGTTTAAATGTGAATAAAAGCCTAATTTAAATCTGTTCATCATATAAAGCGATCAAGGCTCTTCAGAAATTTTGGACTAAACTGTTCAATTCATATCGATTAGTATTATGATCTCTTCATAAACTTTTCAGTAGCGTAGCTGTCAACGGAGGGACAGGAAAGTCTCAGATTGTATCAAAAATATATTCATTTGTGGTCTGAAGATGAATGAAAGTCTCACGACTACAAATTTTGCTTGCAATTACAAAAAGGTTTATATATTAAAAAACAAGATGGTCCCAAAATAGACAATACTGAATAATTCATCTTGTTGAATGTTTTTACTTAGGACTTGATGGAAGCAAAAGAATAGTCATGATAGATGAATCTGGCAGCTTCGCATGATGTATCAGTAAGACTCAAAACAGTACAGTAACTAATATTATACAGATAGTTGGTGATAGTTCTGATGACATGAGCCTTTAAAGTAGCAAACACACACACTTAAATCTCAGACGTGAAAACATTAATATCTTACAAAACTATATTTTCTAGAAAAAACTATTGATGCAAAGTAATACATACCAATGGCCGAAAAGAGGCACATGACTAGGAGGATAATGACACACCAGAATACGTCTACGTTCATCTGCCGCTCAAGTTTGCTGCGTTTATAACGTGGGCCGTTGTTGTTCAGCATTGCTTTTGTCTCATGACCTGAGAATCGGTACAAAACAAAACACTGTAGAGATAATATGAACTCTACCAGTCAGATGACCAATCATTTAACAATCCTGGCATTTGCATGTGCAGATTAAATTACAGGAAACAGTAAAATGCACATTTTAACAAAGTTGTTCTTTTAGTGGACTTAATATCAGGCATTAACCACAGCTTTCATTATTTTTGCTTCTTTTTAAAAGTCATATGCAAAGATTAAATATAATACATAAAAAAGCTGATATATATTGATTACATTTTATCTTACCATTTAATTTACCTCACAATCAATAAATTGACTACTAAAAGTTTAATCAAAAAAAGTATTTTTTTTTTATTTGTCACTGAATAACACATGACATGTTGTAGATGAATGTAAATATCACTTGTGAACAAAATATTTAATTGCACATTACGAATTGTGTGAAAATGTGTGTGTATTTTGGGGATTGCAATAAAATTAACTTAGTTGGACAAAGGAGAGCTGTTAAACACAATTCATAATGGTTGAAATTAGTAGTGGACGTTTTCTGTCCTGGTTTGGATAGAAGGCAGCGTACCTGCATAGATGACAATTCCTACAGCCTCCTCCGTGTTGCGGATGGTACAGCCTCTAAGCAGCAGATTGTCTTTGTATAGCCCGTCTCTCCTCCCACTGCGATGGATTCTGTCAAACACACCACACGGGCTCATTCGACACACATACAACATTTCAGTGAGAACTATACATAATCTATTTCCAATCTGAATTCTTCTGTCCACATTTGCTAGAATTTTACAATTGGAAGCCAAGAACACTGGCCCTTATAAGCATATCCCATGGCAATATCCACATAATTCTGCGTCCCTTGATGTTGACCACATCAATCCATCATCCTTGACAGTGCACAGGGTTTCCCTCAGGATCCCTCTTTCTTAGCACAAAAATCAATAGTAAAGCCAGGACCTCACTAAAATGGCTCTGCAAACAGGTAAAGCCCTGAGGCCATCAGGATCCCGCGTTCAGTCAATACAGCACTTTTTGTAAAACCTCAAAGCCACGTCATAAAAGAACTGAGCAAAGCGAAACGATTCTCAGGATAAATGAGAGAGGACGAGTGGCGAGCAATGAAATGCGAGGAATGAAATCTTAAATCCAACAAGACCTCAAATCAGAATGCGCGTGATTCCAACACCGGGAAAAAGTTCCCGGAAAGAGTTCAAGAGGCCCCAGAGCTAAGCTTGCGGATAAAAATGGCGGCAAATGCAAATGAACTCCCACCGAATGAGCGCTGAATGCTAAACACCTGTGGTGGGAGCTCAATAAAATTTAATGCGAGCACTAATCCCACTGCTAAAATTCAGGCTTACATCTGTGAACTCTTCATTTTGTCAATTATCTGACAAGGCCTTTGGCAAGTTTTTTTTATCCCCATAGTAGTGCATTAATCTTTGAGCTTTGCCCCAGTTTAAAGGCCGACCTGATATATTAGCTGTCTACATGACCATGCTGTCAACCACAGTTCTGGCTTAGTTCGGACGGAGCCATTGGTATCTTTGTTATCCTGAACGAAGGGGTCAAATTTTGGCTAGCTGGTAGATGTCATAATTACCATCATATCATATGCCAGCAAAAAGCTGAAGCATTAAAGAGCATTCAAGTGTAATTTATGTATTCTGAAACAATAAATATATCGCAAGCAACATATATACTGCAAATATTTCATTATATTCTAGCAGATGTTTTAGTGCGCGATTGTTTGGAGGGCTCGTAAATACATGCATTTATTTACCCACAAATGAAATTTACATCATTTACTTACTCTCATGTCATTCTAAACCTGTAAGACTTTCTTTTTCTGCAAAACACACAAACATAATGATATAAACAAAATACACAAAATATATTTCAAAATTGTCAGAAAAACTCTAATTGTGTCCATTTAATGCAAGCCATTACACATTGTTATATAATATTAACAAAAACAGTTAACACATTCTTCAAAATATCTTCTGAGCTCCACAGAAAAAAAAGTCATACAGATTTGTAACAACATGGGAGGCGGCGAGTACATAACTATTTTCTTTTTTTGGGAAAACAATCTCTTTTAAAAGTATGAAATGAACTGAAATGTTCGTCACTGTCTGCTGAATTCACATCACAGCTCAGTCAGTCAGCATTGTCATTTTTCTGCTGCACTAAAGTGCACTCGGCAAACTCATACATCAGAGTCTGTCAAGTATCTGTTACTTCGATGTCAAGCGTGTTTCAAATCAACACGGTCCTTCCATTGTCACAACTCGTGTATCAGCTTTGACCCCACCTAAAGGGCACATTGGTGGCATGGAATTTACCATTAAGGTGACTGGCTCAAAAAAAAAAAACCTGGTTGCAGACTAGGGTTGGGTATCGAGAATCGATTGGAACCGAGACTCACTTTTCGTTTTTCCCGGAATCGTTCAAAAGTTAAAATTTCGATTCCTAGTTTCGATATTCACAGTCCACCGAGTGGAAGAAGAAACCGCTGAACAACACCAACGAAGAAGCGTCTACCGGAAGTGTTGGCATAACCACGCGAGTCGAACATGAGTAGCTTACGTCGGCGATCCAAAGTGTGGCTTCACTTTTCTAAAAAAAACGAAATCTCGGCAAAATGCAAATTTTGTGACAAAAGGAGTAGTTTTACAGAAAGAGTATTTCCTTCAGAAAGGATTATTTCCTTCAGAAAGGCCGTTGGTTAGCAAGGTTAGCTAAACTTTTTTGACCCTGCCTCTTAAAAGAATCGGAATCGAGAATCGTTAGGAACCGGAATCGAAACAAGGAATCGCAATCGGAATCAGAATCGTTCAAATTCAAACGATACCCAACCCTATTGCAGACATGCCTATGCCCTCCAGGTAGTAATCTCATTAGATGGCACTGCACATATTCACCAGCTGGGATGATACTGTATCTTAATGCAATAAGCTGTCACTCCAACAAGGAACAGTCCTTGGCGCCCATGGTGCATTATGTTCCTTCTTTTGCTCCGGTAAGCCACTTTGTGGTAACTGGACAAAAAAGCTGGCAGCACACCAGAAGCATCTGTTCTCCATCATCCAGGGAAATAAATGTCATAATCCATCTGGTTCCTGTCAGCTGACTCACTTGGCCCCGCTGTCTTTACCATACCATATGCAGCAGGTTTTCTTCTAAACACAGGAGAAATACTTCAACCTGCACAGTCCTGACTGGGCTGAAGTTCTTGTTTTACTACTGCCCAAATATATTATGCATGCTAAGCCTAAGCCTATGACCTGTATGCTTTAGCCAGCACTTAAGACTTTAAGACTGCAAGATAAACAGAGTATAATCTTAATCCACAACTTGAAAGTCTAAACACCAGATTAACAATCCGTTTTAAAAAGTGAAAACACAAGGAATGCATTGACCATTCTATGAAATGAGTGCATTTTCCAGTTTGATAAAGTTTACAATTTAATTTGGCATTACAAGCCTTCAAAGTCATGAAACTATAAGGGGCTTCTCAGAATTGAATGATCAATACTTTCAATTAACTAACATGGTATTTGTAGCCTGACGTCATCATACTCAGGTTCTATTCAGAATATGAGTCTGATACTGCTCCATTGGGCTGTGATTATGGGGCATGTTTCAACCAAACCAGGAAAGAAAATGCCTCTGCACTCAATTTGATAGACCTACAACTAAACATGTGTTGAATCCCGTAGGACGGCGTAAACATTTTTCCGATCGACAAATGTCTTGATCGCGGTTCTCTGTTTGTCTTTTAAAATGAATGTGCTGTATAGATCTTCTATAACAGACACGATGGCAGAATCACACTATCACCCCTTTTCCACCAAAAGAAGAACTGGCTCGGAACTGGTGCTGGTTCAAAGTTGGTTCGGAGTTGGTTCAACTTGCGAACCGCTTCAGAACCTATTTGTTTTTCCACTGACTAGAGCGCCCAGGGAACGACGTCATTACGTCACTGTGTACGTCGCCATACGTCTTAGAAACGATTGCAAATACAACATTACTTTCGGAATATCTCTAACTCGTGTACCAAGAAAGCTTTAAAAACAATTGAAATAATCTTTTAATCTTTTCGTTTAATATTTAATCTTTTCTGATAAGTTATGTACCCCTGTCTTGTGTCTTTTTTTCTTTCCATTTATTTGTTCTATATTGTGACTGTTTTCTTCTTTGCTTATAAGGTCTTCAATAAAAAAATGACAAAAATAGAAACGCTTGCATTACAATTACAAAGGCGGACTCTATCGTGTTTCTGCAAATGTTTCTCTTGGCTTTGCGATCTTTTATTATGGTCAGAAAAGATGTTTAGAACATATCTAAACCCGCCCCCAGCCCCTGATGTAAGCATGACGGCGTAAAAGAACGGTTCTAGTCCAGCAAAGAGTTGGTGTCGCTTTGGAACCAGTTCTCCTGGCCGAGAACCGGTTCTTTTGCTGTTGAAACACAAAGAACTGGTTCGCGCGCAGGTATCGGCTCTGAACCGGCTCTCAAAATGCTTTGGTGGAAAAGGGGCTTATGATCCTCAGGTGTGGCCAGAATCTACTCATCTCAATTCTCCAGCGGCAGCCAACTTTGTTGTAAACAAATTCAACCCAAGCACATGGATGATTAGGTTACTTGCTGATCATCGGTCCATCATCGTATAAAGCCCACTCTGACAATTTGATTGGTCCGGACAGCTCTGGTTCGAGCCTAGTTGCTCCACAATGGATTAAGTCCTGACCGAACTTCCCGACCTCAAATATTGTGGGAAGGGGCCAAGTTCAGCTGGCATCCAGGCTATGGTAATTTACCAATATCATAGAAAAAAAAAAGTTGACATTTTAACCTTATTCACAATCATAACACAACATAAGATAAATTGTTAAACTTATCCTTGAATAACCCACTTCTGAAAAGAATGATTTTATCCTTCAGTTTAGTATTGTTTTATTTATGGAATAGTATGGAATAGTGCATACAAAAAGGTAAAAATGTGACTACAGTGTAAACACTTAAAGGATTAGTTCACTTTTGAAAAAACTTTAGCTGATAATTTACTCACCCCCATGTCATCCAAGATGTCCATGTCTTTCTTTCCTCAGTCGAAAAGAAATTAAGGTTTTTGATGAAAACATTCCAGGATTTTTCTCCATATAATGGACTTCAATGGGAACCAGACGGTCCAAGGTCCAAGTTTTGAAATAACCGATCGTTTCGCATGATAAGACCCTTATTCATCGTCTGGTGTTGTTTAAAGACATTTGAAGCTGCATCTGAAACTGTTATTAATTGTCTTTTGGACCTTGGACTGTCTGGTTCCCATTGAAGTCCATTATATGGAGAAAAATCCTGGAATGTTTTCATCAAAAACCTTAATTTAAGAGGAAAGAAAGACATGGACATCTTGGATGACATGGGGGGTGAGTAAATTATCAGCAAAAGTTTTTTCAAAAGTGAACTAATCCTTTAACCTGGTGACACAACTTTAAGCCTTATTAATAACACAACATATATATAGAGACTAAATTCTAATTTTTCTTCTCCTCAAAAAGTGTATATTTACAGATGTAGCAAGAACCATATTGATGAGAGGGCATTGTTATAATGAAAGACAAATGGGAAAAAAAAGTTACCAGATTTAGAAAGTTTGTCTGTTAACGCTTACTCGCTTAGTAAAATCTGGCATTACTGTTCTTAGTCAATAAATACGGCATATGATAATATAAATGAGGGTCACAAAAGACTCTTAGAATATAATTTTTTATGCATCTGATCTAAACACACCAAAAAACAAACAAAACAAAAAACATTCTGGTGGAAAATATTTCACATACTCCAACAGCAGCATTATTGATAGCCTCCATCCATCTAACAACCCTAACACTGACAAATAAAAGACTTCGAGACCCATTCCTACAGTTCTCCAAAAGAGAACGCGGCTGGTAAGAGGAAGAATAATGGGTTAGAATAGCAGGGTTAAAAAATGTCATCTGAATAATGCTGGAGTAAGAGAAATACTTTTTGTAATGGACCATCTATTCATTAGAAATATATTCAACTGGATCTATGTGGGTCACAAAATAACCATTCATCTGGTTATTTAAATCTCAAGAGCTAATGGAATTTTAATCACTGCCGGCAAAACAAAACAATGGAAAGATCTGTGTCATCTAAAAGGCTTTTGGCAGTGGTCTCACAAACTGGAGGGCCACTGTCTTACAGAGTTAATTAAGCACGTCTGAACTAGCTAATCAAAGTTTTCAGGATTACTAGAAACTTCCAGACAGTTGTTCTGGAACATGTTGGAGCTAAACTCTGCAGGACAGTGGCCATCCAAGAGACGAGTTTGAGACCATTGCAGATTATCAAGAAGAAATTCATTGAATATAATGGAGTACATATTGCTAGGGCTAAACTAACTCACAATACACATATGTAACAAAGACTACGCACATGGACATGACATTAAGACTGTTGGGTTAAATCATTAATGCAATTTCTTTCAAAGGATTAGGTTGGCCAATTCATTATTTAGTGTAATAATGGAAATGGCAATGCCCTTTAAAAAGCAATAATGCATTTAACTTACATGTATCCACGAAATCTGTTGAGGTCATTGTTTGGCTTCTCACATTCAATAATGCTGTTGTACTTTGATGGGTCAAACTCACAGTCCTGCAAATGAAAAACATATTTGCAATTTGGGATCTGAACACTAAAAATCACCAGAATAATAAAAGTTCAAGTTTTTATAAATGATCAGAGGATAGTTATCATCTGTTCACCCTAGGGATGTACCAAAGTGATTATCAGTATACACAGTACTCAAGTGCAGTCGATACTGGGTACCGGTATTCTTTTGGATCGGTCAGGCAGAATCGATAAAAATCCGATACTGTTAGTTACCCATGGTTATTACCATTTAGCTATTAAAAAAAGGGACAAAAGCACTATTTGTCCATTATATTTCAAGTCTTCTTTTGAGCAACAGACAGTATATTCATTTCAGAAACTTAGAAGTTCATGGAAACTCTTGTGTAATGTAAATGTAATTCTCCATTTAGCATCTTCAAACAGCATGTCGTGTTCAGTTACAAAACTCAGCATGGTAAAGCTCTCTCCAAGATGTTCCCATTATTGTGCATAATCTGAACAAAGCCTGGGCTTTTGTTTAAAAAGACTATTTTTCTGGAGTTTATTGGTGATCCTAAATATGGTGTGGTACTTGCTATTGGATGAGAGGACTGAATACAACTCATTCACACAGTAAATGCCATTTAAAACTATCAGACATATGTAATACTCTTAGTGTATATTATTTTTGTTCTCTAACGGTTATGAATTTTTCATTGTGGATTGAGGGTTGCCGGTAAATCCATGTTGCTTTAAGCACATCATCACACATTCGGGATATGCTTAGGCTCTTTTGTGCCGCTCTGTATTGGAGCCTTTCAAACTATGATGGATTGGTGCAATTAAATATAAATTAATACATGTATTATCCTATTAATTTGTATCTTACATTCAATCTTACATTCTTACATTTAATCTGTAGCATACGTTCAAAAAGAAATGCTTTTTATTGTGCATATGTACTCCCATCACAAATGTATTGTTTACAAGATTTTAAGAAGGTTGCCATCTAAGTTCTAACACAAAGAGCAATTTGTACATTTTTCAAGATTTTACCATTATGTAGTAGTAAGTGGTCTGCACTTACATTATGTTTCCAATTCCACCCACCAATTTTATTGAATTTTGGGATATCGCATAATTTTAAAAAATAATTAAATAATAAATAAAAAAACAGCTGGAAGGAGACACCATGATGTAGATCTCAAATCATCATTTGGGAGGACAATTTTTTTAAGCCAAAAAAAAAAAAAAAAAAATGAACAACCGAATTAAACTCTCAAATGCTCAAAGAAAAAAAAAGAAACATCCCATTACTTTGCCTTAACAATGGATGTGATTGGATAACGGAACTAACCAGCAGACCAATTTCACTGCACACTGCACTGCATCTCAAACCTTGGTTTGGTTTAATCATTCTGAAATGTTTGTGCCAAAGTCGGTCCTCACAATATTTTGGTATAATGACCTCCCAGAAGTCACGTGAGTGCGTTCCCAAACTCCAGGCATCTGAATGCAAGATAACATAACAGAGTTTATAGCGTTTCTTAAATTTATGACGTGCCAAAGAGGCTTTCCCAATTGAAGCAACTTCCATTTGTAGAAGATTTGCTCAAAATTTCCAGGAAGTGACAATTTAGTTCTCTTGAACACATGGGATGAAACACTGCTTTAAAATTGCAAATGTTTCATAAGATATTCCAAATTTTGCGGTTACATTAATGTGTGTGTGTGTGTGTATCGGACATAAAACAAGTTGTATCGACTCGAGCCATACCCAATTCCTCTACGTGTTGCAAAATTTCAGCCTGCTGATCACATGAATCTTAAGATTTTAGAAGACTTATAATATATAGGGCACAGGCTTTATTGACTACTTTCAAGGTACTTTTTGTCCCTTTGCAGCATGGAAATTGTTAGATTATTCATTTTCTGGGGTAAACAGGTTTTGATACACAGTTTCTTTTGCCAAACTGCTTTCAGATTTCTCTTATTGACATTTTAAGACGTAACACATACAGGTTGAGCAGTGCCAAGGAAAATTAATATTTGACTTTGGTGTGAATTGACTAAAGTTATCTCAGTGGTCAAACGCAGACCAGCTGAATACACACAGGATCACATTAACTGTTCTTGACACCAGGATGCTTCTATTCAGTTCTTTACTCAACTTTCACAGCAAACACTCAACAGTCCTTAACACTCACCAGGTCGATAAAGCTGCGCACCACCTGCCTCTGTTTGAGGTTGGTTTCGCCGTCCAGTGTGGCCGTCTCGATGTGACACAGGCGGTCTGGGTCGCTGCTGCTGAGCAGAAGAACGTCCGCCGGCAGAATCTCGTTGCAGCGCAGACGAATGAAGTCTCCGACCCGTACCTCCTTCCAGTATTTCTCCACATACCTTTTCTCACTCCTACAAATGGCACAAGAAAACAAATCTGTAAATGTAATTTAGTCATACTGATGTATCCAAGCAAAGAGGCTTTTTTTTTAATCTCACAGACACCAATGTTTTTCTATACACATATTCCATTGTGCATGCTTTCATCACCAGCAGGGTGGATTATTGTAATGGACTCCTCACTGGCTCTCTTACAGAACGCTGCTGCCAGGATTCTGAACAGAACCAGAATATAAAGATATCACACTAGTCCTCAGGTCTTTACATTGGCTCCCAGTTACATTTAGGGTTGATTTTAAAGTATTACTGGTCTATAAATCACTCAATGGCCTATAGGACGTCAATACATTGCAGATATACACACTGAACATAAACCCAATAGATCACTCAGATCATTAGGAACAAATCAGCTAGAAATACCAAGGGTTCACTCTAAGCGTGGTGAGTTTGCTTTTAGCTATTATGCCAGCCGCAGCTGGAACCAGCTTCCAGAAGAGATCAGATGTGATCCTACAGTCACAATTAAATCAAACGACTCAAACACTTCCGTTTAGCTGTGCATTTACTGAATGAGCACTGTGCCACTGTTCGTCCAACTGATTACACTGCATTTCATTTTTTTTATTCTAAACTGATTGAATTATTCTTATTTTGATTATTTTAATTGCATCTATGTAAAGCACTTTGAATTACCATTGTGTATGAAATGTGCTATAAACTTGCCTTGCATACCGCATACATGCCTTTCAATTTTGAATACTCAAATCATAAAATGTAATTTGAGATTGACCTTACCATTTTAATGTTTTGAGTCAGAGACTCTAATGTTAATAATTACGACTTAACAATATATTGTACAGTCTGACAAGCATAGGATCTCACTATGCTAATAGTGTATAATGTTTGACAAATAAACAGTGCACAAGACATTAATTGCAGTGAAGTCTTTGGACCTGCCGGGTGGATAATTCCAATTCATAACTTTGCACATGACGTCACTGTACTGGTTGGCGGGCAAGAACGCCATTCTCCAGCAACGAAACCCAGTAAACTAGTCAAGGATCTTGCCAGGACGTCGGCAGTTTTTGTACAAAAGTTGGTGTTTCGAGGTGTAAATGACACATCAGATAGTTGTTGTGCGATTGTTTGCCATAACCAGATGAGATAAGCAACCTTCACAGTATAATGTTACACATCTGTGCAGTAATCATTCCATCCCTCCATCAAAGGTAATTTAACATTAGTTTGAATACAATGTGTGTATGATCATTAATCGTGTCTGAGTTAAACTGTAGTTTCGTCAACCAACACCACCAGCTGGTTTGGTGAGTCAGCGGTTTGTGTTGTGAGGCTAACTGTACGTTCACGCCGCCGCGAGAGCAGCAAAATTCATTGAAAATTGAATGTCTTCAGGGCATGTTGACGCTCTCGCTGGTGGCGGTGTAAACGCTATCTGTCGTATCTTGCTAACAACAACAACAACAAAAGTGTGTGATGGGTTGTTTAGAGGTTTGTGATATCTATGGTTTTCAATGAGAACAGTAGAGCTAGATTTACGGAGGAATTGTTACTGCTCGATAAACTAAATAAAACCTTGTCTGCTTTGCACAATTTAACTACCTTCACCTTGGAGTTAATCAGTCCATAGTTTTGCAGCTAGCTCGCTAACAGACTTGATACTAGAAAGACCTGGAACTACAGGACTATGTTGAAAATACCCGTTTGTTGCCCGCCAGGCATCCATGGTAGTCACGTGACTGCAAAGTATGAATTCTGATCACATGGCGCCATGTAGCGTACACTCTAGAGTTTAAGGTTAGAGGTTTTGAACAGCCTTAGCAAGCATGACTTATATGAAGGTAGAAATAAACTGTTGTAATTCAAGAAAGCATTGATTGAGATAATGGCACAGAAATTAGACCCAAATGTTGGTGAAAAAAAATAAATTAAAATAAGGACAGACAAAACAATGTACATCTTCTTTGTCTTCCATTAGAGAACTGTGCTCTTTTTAAATTTGTTCAAATTTTCACAATTTGCGTTAGCGTAAACTTATTTGACATTTGCCTCGGATGCTTCTGCATTAATAGAGAACTTATTTATAAGCGCTGAACGTGGAAAAACAACCAGACCAAACAAACTCCACACAGAACTGAACAATAAACAAACCACATCTGTGCCGTGTTCTAAACTGGGAGAGTAGTGTTCATCATGGTTAAGGCCTAACATGATGGACAACATGACGCCTATTTCAGGAGGACAAAAATAATATTACAGGGCTTTGGCAAACATGGCTGCAGGGACTGCTAAACAAAACTTCCTTCTGTTTCTTTTCCCGCCCTTCCACACATAAGAGTGCTCTTTTACTGCCACACAGAAATGTAGTGCAGTTTGGAGGCACGTACATTCATGGGCAAAAAAAGAAAAAAAAATTGCGCCAAACCCAAAATGGCTAAACAATAAGCTTTTCATTGTCGACTTCACCACAATTTATTGGCCAGGAAATTAGAAAAATTTAAGAACATGCAGTACTTAATGCTTTCTCAGAAAAACATCAAGGACAGAAGGAAGTTTTTGGTAGAATGTGGAAGTTGTGTGTGGAGTGATGAATCACAATGAAACACGAGTTACATTTGTGATGCTCTAGAGCGGTGTCTTTGAAAACCTGGTGGGAAATATAATAATAAATGTGTGGGAAGCCTTTTTAGCGGCTGGTACTGGGGAGTTATACTTCACTGTAAAAAATAATAAAAAAAATGTAATGCTTTGGAGTACAGGGGAATATTGCAGGATGGCTTTCTTCCCACAAATGAAAAGTTGTAATCTTAAAGAGGAATGATCAGATATTATTGAGAACAAACGGCTTGAAAACAAGTCCATCAGGCTCATGTTTTGGTCTGGTCAGATTCCAGATTCGAACCCATATACTGTAGTAAACATTGTTAAACTCAAACAAACTGGGAGACATTTTTCAACTATGAACTGTTTGAACCCATCAACATTAAGTGAAACAAACTCTTCCTCCTGTAAAAGGCTATCTGCATCTCTAACGGTGTAATTCTTGCTAATTTCCTGACAGAGGATGTGATTAAAATGGATAAGCAATTAAAAGACCACTAAATATTTGCCAACTTTTGGCTTGGCCCACCATATCTGTTGCCCAGGAGTGTAAATTACACACTTTACCTTCAAATCAACTCTGAACCCATGTTTAACTGTATTACTGATTACCGGCACATGACTTTGAGGGTCAGTAGTGCCAGACAGTGTCCAGCTATAAGTAGATAAACATGTTGTTGAGAGGAAGCAGAGACACATTAGGGTGGTCATGAGGATGTTACACTGAAAAAGCAATTCACAATCTAGCTTATTTTGTAAATAATTCTGGTCACTGTAAATGCTTAAACCTAAGAATTTGTGAGGGGCTTTTGAACATCCTGGGAGACTGATATATGAATCAACAAAAAGACCAGCCAGAGAGAGTAAGAAACTGAAAATTGAGTTTACTGAGAGGAAATGTGAAAACAAGTGAAAGGATGACCATGAGCACACAATTCAGTTTCAGTTCATTTAAATCAATAAATTTGGCACAGGCAATCAAAAAATTGCTTCAAAGGTGGGATAATTATTTTTTAACAACAATTCCTATTATTTTTATAATTAATAATAATTAATATTTTTATAATTTTATAATATAATAAAGTTAATTAAACTTATTACAAATTAAGTTATTACAAATATTTGTGGAGAACTTGATCATTTTTCAAGAATGTTTCTGGAGTTTTTGATGAATAGAAAGTTCAAAAGAACAGCATTTATTTGAATACACAAACTAATAACATAGTCCAAACTTTTGAACAGTAGTGCATACCGCATACATAATATTTACATTCGTCTATGTCCCCAATGGCTCACAAAACAGTAAGGGGGTGAAAAATTGTGCTAGCTTTCAATTCAACATATTAAAATATAAACACTATACATGTAAATATAGGCATGTAACAATTAAACAGTAAATCATTACCAGTCACTTACACTAAACTGGAATTAAATGAACAGAGTAGACCTTTTCAAATCAATACATTGAAAGGCAAAGCAAGGAAACTGAACATTCAGTAATGTTCGGTTTTTAATAAGTCATTAATATTAATAAGTCAATACTAAATAGTATTAGTCCATAAACCGTGATTGAGATAGCTCTGCTACAATGTAAGCTTTCACCAGATGTAGACAATGCATGTGCAGACAGGGCGTGTTTCCTTGGACAATTTTCTTGGCATTCTCTCACTCAAAGATAATCACCAAGTGTTATAAATGTAAGTGTTGGGCATGCTAAGTGGTGTGCGGTCATGTGTCACTAACAACAAACCCCCACGAGAATTCATGTTTTTATTTCACCTCTGGAGGTCGAGGTCATACTCTAGATCAGGGTTGGGCAACTCCGGTCCTCGAGAGCGACAGTCCTGCAAAGTTTAGCTCCTCCAACCCTGTGAAAAATTAGTTTTTAGTAATCCTGAAAACATTGATTATTAGCTTGTTCAGGTGTGTTTAATTAGGGTTAGAGCTAAACACTGCAGGACAGTGGCCCTCGAGTACCGGAGTTGCCCATCCCTGCTCTAGATTCTTTAAAGAGAGGGGGGAGAGATATCAGTTAGTATCTGTGGTCATTTTGAGCTGTTGAGCAAGATGTTGAGCAATAACAAACATTGCATAATTTGAAGAGCAGCACATTAGTATATAAAATCATGAACCAGCTAATTTAGGAACAAATTTGCAAAGAAATGCAGAAGAGAACGGGGACATGTGGATATTCAAGAACAGACCTAGATAGAAAAGACGACTGGAACTGAACTTTAAGGTCATATCCTCCAGCGACAAAAATGTGGAAATGGTCCACCAACAAGACTTCCGAGAGAAAACAAGCAGCTCAGCAGAATAAAGGCTTATGGGTGTATCTAGTCAACAGAAACAAAGGTTGCTCTCTGAAAAGCAGATTGGCTCTTTCTCTACAC